TGACGGGCAGGAACATCGAGAGATTCAACCGTCTCGGAGGGCTACTCCGCTCACTCCGAGTCCCGTGGCTGATCATCGGCGACTTCAACATGACGCCAGACGAGCTCATGCGCACGGCCTTCCACAGAGTGACGGGAGGCCACGTGCGAGTACCAGCTGGAGTTGAGGGCACATGTGCCCAGAAAAAAGGACCTGACACAATGATCGACTTTGTTTATATGAGCGCTGCCGCGTCCTCATTCATCCAGAGTCTGGAAGTAGTCAGAAGTGTCTCGTGGAAGCCTCATCTCGGGCTAGCCTTGAGCCTACGAGCTTCAGGCCAGACCCTTAGGACGCGTGAGATTTCCCTGCCCCCGAAGTTGCCCCAACTCCCGAGGCCCCGGTGTGAGCCCACTCCTGGATCTAAGTCCAGCCAGGCCAGGTCCGCTGCGGCTGTTAGGCGCCAGGAAGCTCACGCCAAGAGGGCCGAGGGGTTCCAGGAGGCCTTCGGGGATGTTTTGGAGCCACCCGTGCAAATAGGGACTACGCGTCCCCAGGCGACCGAAGAGGCCGATCAGGACCCTGATCTGGACCACGATTTTTTTGCCTTCCCAGAGGACGAGGAGGACCCCTGGGCCCATGAATTTAATTTTTGTTCTGACTCACGCCTAGGTAGCGAGCTGTCGTCTGATGGATCGGGCGCGGTCGGCGCATCGGCCGTCGGGGACAAAAAGCTCGATACAGTCAACGTGAGTGTGAGTGTCAATTCGTCGGTATGCGAGGCCCAACCCCTTCCCCCCTCGGCGGTTTCAAGTAACCCCGTAGTTAGCAGCAACGTTGGTAATAGCAGTGCTCAGTTGCATCGCCCCGACCCCTCCCAGCGGGATGCTCCCTCGTGCCCCGTGGTCGAAGATGTGCCCGACCCTCCGCTTGAAATTCCTGCGTCCACGTGGACCGAGGCTCGACTGCAGGTGGGCTTTCGGTCGGGAGCGGATGCCGTGGCGAGTCTCTCCCCTTTCCTTTCCTCCTCCGTAGCCTTTTCGCTCGAACCTGCTCGCGGAAAGCTCCTCACGGGGCAGTGCGCGACGTGGGTTACGGCGGTCGAGCAGGCTTTCCATACTCACCATCATGTCAGGCCCCCTGCTGGGCCCACGCGCGCCGTGGGGCCCAGGATCCACGAGAAGCCCATGAGGGTCACTGCCCATGTGCGGGAGCTCGCCCTTCATGATCAACGTAGCCAGTGGTGGACGCGCGTCCACACGGTGCTCGCTGGAGTCCTCAGGCACCAGAGCAGGGACAACGGCCAGCGCCAGCAGCAGGAGTACGGCAAGGCCAGTACCCTCCTACGGCAGTCCAGGCCTGAAGGGGTACATAGCCTTCTGAACGCGGGCAGCGAGGCCCCGTGGGACCAGTGGCTGGCAGTTCTCGGCGACCCGAGTCGGCTGTCGACCCCAGTGCTGGAGAACTATGTCTTGGCTGCGAAGCGGGTGGCCAGCAGGGCTCAGCGCGCGGCAGTCCACGAGTCGATCTCCAACTTTAAGACCTTTGTGATGCAGCCAGAGGCCGTGGGCACCCTCCACAAGTCGTTGAAGGCGAACCCACTGCCGCCGAGTGAGCTGGAGGTGGGGGATCGCACCCTCGTTCATCCAGCTGACATCATGGAGCACAAGGCGGCGACCTTCAAACGGATGTGGGCGCCACGGCCCCCCGACGGCAGCGAGATTAAGGAAGTGTTTCGTCTCATTCGAGAAGCGGCCCAGGGGGGCGATCTTCCTGAGCTTACCCCTGATCTGGCCTACGCCAGCGCCAAGGCCATGAAGGCTAAGGCAGGGCTGGGGGTGGACGTTCTGAGTCCAGTCGACTTTCAACGCCTCCCTCGTGAGGCCATTGAGGAATTCACTGATATTCTAAAGAACGCTGAGGCCCTGCTCGCCTGGCCAGCCCAGACTCAGCTCGTTGTGACCTTCTTGACTCCCAAGAAATCCCAGGGAGACAGAGGCATAGGTATGATATCAATGATAGGCCGCCTTTGGTCCCACACCAGAGAACCTATAGTCAAGCAATGGAGCAAAGATCAAGAACAGGCATGGGATGCCGCAGTCGCTGGGAATAGTTGTTTGCGCGAAGCATATCTTCATGCCATTGACGAGGAAGTTGCGCACTGGATGAGAATGGAGTTTGGGCAAGGACTGCTCGACATTCAAGAATTTTACGACTCCATACCTTGGCTACCCCTGGTGAGGGCGGCCTTGAGGCTTCACTTTCCACCAGTCATTTTATATTTGGAGCTCCTCCAGTGCATCACGATGCGGACGTTGTCACAGGAAGGAGCTGTGTGCACCCCCTTCGAGCCCTGCCAGTCAGTCATCCAGGGGCTGCGAGGGGGAACCAGATTCGCCAAGATACTCACCCATTTCGTGATGCAGGTGGTGGTTACGGCGACACCCAGGATGAACCACCGAGTCTGGATAGACGATATATGCCAGAAGATCACGGGCTCACGCCAGGCAGTAAGGGCTAACCTTATACGCGGAGTTGTGAAGGCGGGCCAAGAGCTTGCCAAGGCAGGCCTCAAGTTGGCCAAGAAGTCAGTGGTCATGTGCACGAATCCCGACGACGCCCGTGCTGTAGCCAGGGCCGCCAGGCTCAAGGGTTTCCCAGTCAGGGCCCTGGCGCAGGCGCCGTACCTGGGGGTGGACTTCAGCTGCGGCAAGCAGGGACGTGCCACCAGGATGCAGAGACAGATCAAGCACGGAGCGATGAACGAGAAGGTGAAGAGATTCAGTCGAGCTACTCGGCGGTATGGGATTACGACGCGGCTTGAACGCAACGGCTGCCAACCTGCGGGCTCCTACGGCTTCGAGGTGCACGGGATGTTCGGCCACCAGCTGACAACCCATCGCCGCCGACTCGGCCAGATCTGTGCTGCGGCCACTAGAGGCCGATGCCTCACTACCCTCCTGGACCTGAGAGCGCCAGGAGGGGACCCTGCCGTGGCGATGCCAGCCAAGACCGTGGACATGTGGCTCAGCGTCTGGCAGCAACAACCAGGTCTGCGCCAGCGAGTACGACAAGTATGGCATCATGTCCGAGACCACCTTTCCCAGCTGGATCCTCAACATCAGGCGCGTGCTGTGCGTGGCCCAGTGTCTGCAGTAATCCTCACCCTTCTCCGCATCAAGTGGAACCCTGAGGATGTGGACACATGGTCGTACACTACGCCCACGGGGTCGGAGGAATGGCAATTTCCAGACGCCATATACACGGGCAATAAGTTGCTCGACACACACCGTGAGTTGTTGAAGGATGTACGTCAGTCGGCGGCTCAGGTGGTATGGACCACGGCTGCCAAGCACTACTGCGGAGGTGGAGTCGAGCATGGAGTTGACAATCGGTCATTTCGGCTGTTGATCAAACAAGTTGGGCAACTCCCACACGGTGTGCGTCTCACCGAGTTGCTGATCAATATTGCCACAGGTGGATACTGGACGCGACAGAGACGATATGATGAATTGAAGGGCTATAAGGGCAGCAACATGTGTGACCGCTGCCGAGACGCACCAGAGACGGCCAAGCACAGATTCTGGCAGTGCAGCAAGAACGTACAGGCCGCGCCCTATACTCGCTCAGAGTCTTTGGTTTCAGCCGCGATGGCCCAGACGGACGCCACCGAGTGCTTCTGGCTACGCGGGTTGCTGCCGACCCAGTGGACCCAGACCCCACCCCCACCGAAGGACACGGTCCTTGAGTTCACGGGCATCAACGAGCTGTCCGAAGGGATCTTTGGGGCGGGGAGCGCTGAGTCACCAGTCGAGATCTTCGGGGACGCCAGTGGAGGACCAGATGCGAGCATCAGTGATTTCATGAGGATTGGAGTTGCCATTGTATGCGTTGCCAGCCTATTGCCCGAGATCAACCTACACGGTGCAGTCTTCGGCCAGCTGGGTGGCCCACGCCAAGTGGTGGCGAGGGGAGAGCTCTACTCCCTGTACCTCGCCCTCTGGTGCACTACCAGGTTCCTCACCTACGTGACGGACTGTGAATATGTGGCGGCGGGCTGGTACTCGCAAGCCTACACGAACCCAGCAGGTGAGGACGCCGACCTATGGAAGCTCATCGGGGACCTGATGAGCTCACGCCGCCACGCTGAGGTGACGGTGCTCTGGACGCCGTCCCACAGCACGGCCCAGGACGTTGCCGCCCAGAGGGTGAACAGGTACCTCGTCATAGGCAACCTGCTCGCCGACGAGTTCGCGGGCTGTGCAGCGGCCAGAGCCAGGCTGCCCGCCGAGGTCCGCCAACCCATCCTGCTGGCCGAGCGGAGGGCGTACCTCGTCCGTATGAGGCTCCTCCGAGCCACGCTTGACAGCATTGCGGCCAGCCAGGAGGCCGAGAGAATGGAAAGGGACGCCGCCCGAGGCCCTGGGAGCCCCTCTGAGGTCCCGCCTCCTCCTGCCCCTCCTCCTCCTCCGCCTCCCGCGGCTGCCACCGTTGCTGCCCTCATGTCCAGGCACCGTTTGGCCGACTGCGGCCGACGTTGCCTCTCTTGTTTCGGTTCTGCAACCCTCGCCACCGCTCAGGAATTCGTCGAATCAGAATGTCCTAAGCTGTACAATGTCGATGGGGTCCTGTTTTCGCCGTTAAAGGGGCCGCGAGTCCATATCGCGGGGGGTTGGGCCCACACTACGCGTACCCTGAATGTTCACCCGACCCTTCAGATTTGGTTTTGCACTGAGTGTGGGGGCATCGTGGATAAGGCTCTGCGATCTCTTAAAGGCCCATGTAGTAAGAGGAAGTCCGCCACGGGGCAAGAGTACCTTGACAGAATTGCTCGGGGGTTACATCCCAAAGTTCTGAGCCGAGCTGAGCAAGCTCGGCGCTCGAATGCTCGTATGTCCAGGCCTTCCTAAGATTCGAACCTGCTGCGCAGCGGAGTCCACTCCACTCCACTCCACTCCTCCTCCTCCTCCTCCTCCTCCTCCTCCTCCTCCTCCTCCTCTGCAGGATAGCTGGACGTGCTGCCTGGACGCCATGGGCAACGGCATCGGCGGCGCCCCCGGCAGCACCTGCTGCCAGTCCCCGGTCACCGGGGGCGTCCTGATCTGCGGGGCGGGCAGCGTCTGCAACCCGAAGTCCGGCCTCTGCTTCGCACCAGGCTCGGACATGTGTGGCGACGTCGCGTGTGCTCCCGGCACCGAGTGCGTCGCGCCCGGCGTCTGCGTCCTTCCGAACACGACGGACGGCCAGAAGCGGTGCGGCGCCATCTTCATCAACGAGAAGTGGACGTGCTGCACGGACGCCCACGGCAACGGCATCGGCGCCGCTCCGGGCAGCACGTGCTGCCTGTCCCCGCGCTCCGGGGGCGTCGTGGCCTGCGGGGCGGGCAGCGTGTGCAACCCGAACTCGGGCCTCTGCTTCGAGCCTGGCTCGGAGGTGTGTGGCGACGTCGCCTGTGCTCCCGGCACCGTCTGCGCCGGGTACGGCGTCTGCCTCGTGCCGGGCATGCCGGGCACGGAGCTCGGAGGGCCGGAGGGCTCGGAGGGCAACAGCACGAGCTCGGAGGGCAACAGCACGAGCCTGGAGAGCAACAGTACCGCCGAGTGAGCGCTGTTCGCCCACCAATCGGCCAGCGCAAGCGCGGACGACCGGTAGCAGGCCGCTGGCACCGACGGTGCCGCCGAGGCTGCGTCGAGAACTCTCTTCGTTCCCCCTGCGCTGGGTTCTCGTTTTGAAAAGAGCACTACGGTCGCACACCTTCTTCTTCTCATCCCCCCTCCTGCCTCCTCCTGCGATGCTCCCTGAGCGACTGCGAACTGCGCAACTGTCGCCACTTCCGTGGGCTCCTGGGAGGCACGGCGGAGTAGCTGAGCCCCAGAGACCTCGCAGGTCCTTGGGTGGTTGCGAACTGCGCATCTGTTGCCATTTTCGTGGGTTCCTTCGAGGCACGGCGGAGTAGGGGAGTACCCGAGACCTCGCAGCTCCTTGAGTGATTGCGAACTGCGCATCTGTCGCCACGTTCGTGAGCTCCTGGGGGGCACGGCGGAGTAGGTCTCGCAGGTCCCTGGGTGGTTGCGACCTGTACAATTGTCGCCACATCGGTAGGCTCCTGGGAGGCTCGGCGGAGTAGCGGAGTAGCCGAGACCTCGCAGCTCCACGGGTGGTTGCGAACTGCGCAATTGTCGCCATTTTCGTGGGCGCCTGGGAGGTTCGGCGTAGTAGCGGAGGACCTGGGACATTGCTGTTCCTTGGCTGGTTGCGAATTGCACAACTGACGCCATGTTCAAAGGTTTCCTGGGAGGCACGGCGGAGTAGAGGAGTACCCGGGACCGCGGAGGTCCTTGTGAGGTTACGAATTGCACATATTTCGTGATTTGTGTTGGCTCCGGGGAGGTACGGCGGAGATGAGGGCAGCCCTGATCGTGCATATCTGGCGACGTGTTCGTTTGCATAGAGCGTTCATACAAATATTCGCCTCGCGTAGAGAAGTGGTTGGGTACGTCTCGTGTAATTTCCGAGGGAGGCTGACCTTGCTTGGCCTCCCCGCTTTTCCACACAAGCGTGGTGGGGGCCTTTGGGGAAATTCTGGGCGACGGTCAAGACGCTGAAGTAAGGCCCATTTGGAGCTCAGGAGGGACTCTGGTTTTTGGGCCGTGCCTTCGATCCAGGTCGGAATGCCTACGTCGTGGCCGAGGCTCGCCGCTGTCAGAAGAGCCTGGCGTTCCTCGTCACAGCACGATGACTGTAAGAGCCCCCCGCGACACCCCGCCCGACATTCTGCCCAGACCCCCGACCGAATGATTTGTTCATGACGTCGACCCACAGCGGTCTCGACCCATGCCCCGGGACCCGGTTTCCATCCCGTGTTGTTGTTTGATGGTCCGGATGCCCAGGGAGAGTCCCCAGAGGCTGAAGATAGCGAAAACGTTTCCGTTGTGACCTGTTCACGACTCGAGGGGGTCCGCGTAAGGATCCTCCACTGGCTAATCGCGCTGGTGGTGGTGGTGCTGGCTCTTTCTTGCTCCTCTCCAGAAGGCCCGCGGGGGCCCTGCAGCTTGTAGTGCGCAGGGGACCGCCCTTGGAGACGTCATGCCGCCGCCCTCCACGAGCAAGGCGCGGAGGCCGCAGCGTCCCCAGGGCAGCCGTGTTCCTCTCGCCTTGTCTCGCAAAGAAGAGCAACGGCAGACGAAGCAGACAGTCGACCCGCATAGTAAGGATGGGCAACCTTCCCAAGGCCTCCCTCCCTCCTCCCCCCTCCGTCCTCCCTCCATCCCTCCCTCCCTCCCCCCGTCCCTCCTCCTCCTCCTCCCACTCCTCCTCCTCCTCCTCCTCCTCCTCCTCCTCCTCCTCCTCCTCCTCCTCCTCCTCCTCCTCCTCCTCCTCCTCCTCCTCCTCCACTCCTCCTCCTCCTCCTCCTCCTCCTCCTCCTCCTCCTCCTCCTCCTCCTCCTCCTCCTCCTCCTCCTCCTCCTCCTCCTCCTCCTCCTCCTCCTCCTCCTCCTCCTCCTCCTCCTCCTCCTCCTCCTCCTCCTCCTCCTCCTCCTCCTCTCCTCCTCATCCTCATCATCATCATCATCATCATCATCATCATCATCATCATCATCATCATCTCATCCTCATCTTCATCCCATCCTCATCCTCATCCTCACCCTCTCCTCATCCTCCTCCTCATCCTCATCCATCTCTCCTCATCTCCTCCTCCTCCTCCCTCCTCCTCCTCCTTCTCATTCTCTCCTCCTCCTCCCCTTCCTCCTCCTCCTCCTCCCTCCTCCTCCTCCTCCTCCTCCTCCTCTCCTCCTGCTTCTTCCCTCCTCCTCCTCCTCCTCCTCCTCCTCCTCTCCTCCTCCTCCTCCTCCTCCTCCTCCTCCTCCTCCTCCTCCTCCTCCTCCTCCTCCTCCTCCTCCTCCTCCTCCTCCTCCTCCTCCCCTCCCCCTCCCCCCCCTCCCCCCCTCCCCCTCCTCCCTCCTCCTCCTCCTCCTTCCTCCTCCTCCTCCTCCTCCTCCTCCTCCTGCTCCTTCTCCTCCTCCTCCTCCTCCTCCTCCTCCTCCTCCTCCTCTCCTCCTTCTCCTTCTCCTTCTCCTTCTCCTCCTCCTCCTCCTCCTCCTCCTCCTCCTCCTCCTCCTCCTTGCCTCCTCGGTCCATCCTTGGCCACTCTCGTTGGCCGCGCCCCGCTCTAGAAGCTTCGAAATGGCCCTCCAAGGCCCTTGCATCCTCTTCGCGCAGCCTTATGATACGGGCCCTCTGTATACTGCCGACGGTCGGCGCGGATCTCCTCGGATCGGCGCTGGAAGCCGCCTGGCGGCGCCTCTGGCGCCGCCCCTGGCGCGCTCCGCGCGGCAGGGAGGGGGGCCCAGCGCGGACCCTAGAGATCCGCACGGAGTTCCATATTTGTGTTGAGTCGGGCATGTCCCTCTACAGGAGGAATATTCAAACATAGTCAAAACAGTTCTATTATCTTGAAACTATGTTCGAACACGTTTGCACTACTCTTTCATGTTCGCACAAAATTCGTCTGTAGGGGGACATGCCCGACCTAATACCTGATAGTTGTGTTGTTGCTGGTTCCTCTGATTTGGGGCCTCTGGAGGCCGCTTTTGGGCCCGCCGGGGCCGCTGACAGACTGGCAAGTGGCCTGGAATGAGCAGCCGGCCCCTGGGAGATATGGTCAAGTCCAGGGGGCAGATAGGTCTCGAAGACACCGGGCCGCCCCCGCCCCATGTCTACACATTGTTCATTTCTAAGTATTCGGGCCAAGATCCTTTCGTTTCTAATTGTTCTATCCTCGGCCACTTCCTGGCCACGAGGGGGCCAGGAACAACTAGAAACGAGCACAATTCGAAATGAGCACGCTTAGAAATGAACGACGTGCTGAGTACGAACAAATACATAACATAAAAACTCGGAGGTCCGCGCGGATTTCTCGGATCCGCGCTGGACCCCCTTGGCGGCGCCTCCGGCGCCGCCCCCGTCGCGCTCCGCGCGCCAGGGAGGGGGTCCAGCGCCGATCCGAGAAATCCGCGCGGCCCTCCGAGTTGTTAGTTATTTGTAGTTCACCTAATGTCTGCGTTCTCGGCGGCGCACTCGTAGGGGGGGCCGAGGGGTCCTTCTGGGAAGCTAAGGGGGCTCCCTGGGCCCAGACCCCCGACGTCTTGATGTTTTGTTCGTGACGTCGACCCCCAGAGGTCTCGCCCCATTCCCCGGGACAGGTCTTTCCTGTCCCGAAGGGCCCGGTGAAAGCCCCCCGAGGCCGGAAAAATAGCGACACAAAATCCTGTCGCGATGCTGTCATTGCTCGAGGGGGTCTGGTGACGCCGCCCGACACCCTCCGGGAAGACTTCTCGGAGGTCTCCGGCATCCCCTCTCGGGGACCACCTGCCTGCTTGCGGAAGGGCACAACGCCCTCGTCCAGAGTCCTTCCCGTTCATGCGCCGCCGGGCGTCCTGGGCCGTGCTCTCCGCACGCGCGCGAGGAGTGCGGGGTCTTTGGATGGTTCAGGGGCACCAGCTCCAGCCTCACGTCGGGCATGCCCCTCTACAGGAGGAGTGTTCAAAAATAGTCAAAAAATAGTCTGGGGACGATGTTTCTATTATGTGTTGACCATTTTCGAATATTTCTTGACACATGTTTTTAAGTCTTCCTCCAAAATCTTCCTGTAGGGGGGGACATGCCCGACCTAACCCCAGCTCTGCGGCTTGCCTCGCAGTGTCCGAGCCGCACAACAAATGCATAAACATAAATTCTTGGCGCTTCGCGCGGATTTCTTGGACTCGCGTTGGGCCCACCCCTGGCGGCGCCTCTGGCGCCGCCCTTGGCGCGCTCAGCGCGCCAGGGAGGGGGGTCCAGCGCAGATCCAAGAAATCCGCGCGGAGCACTAGAAGTTTATGTCTATGCCGTGTTTTTTTCTACAAAGGGCAGTCTTCGGCGGTTCCCCATCCGCCGTCGCCTCCATGACCGCTTCTCGTACAAGACCAGGGTCAACACCAGCGGGGATGTCTCGAGCCCCTTCGGATAGACATCGGTGCTGCATGTCTTGTTGTGCACGTCCGTCCCTCCGCCATGTCCCTCCTCCTGTCCTGCCTGTTTGGATGTGTCTCCACTTCTTCCCAGCTTTCGCGCCCCCCATATACGCTGCCCCGTTCCTCCGATCCCTCATCCTCCATCCCCCATTAATGATTTTGCCAGGACGAGTTGGGAGAAACCAGCGAAAGCAGACCTCCCTCATGTGACAAGCATCGTGGCGGGACCACTACGGATCAATGAGAGATCGCACTTGCCATGTGATGGTAGCCCTCTGCTGGGCCCCACAACCATGAGCAGCTCCTACCCCAAGCCAGCAGGGCGTGCGCAAAGCACGCAGGAGATGTCCCTTTCGAGTTTCCAATGGACGAGTACACATGGAGGAATTGTGGTCACGCCCTTGGGAAATTCACTGCTAGCGAAAAGTGTGTGTGTGTGTGTTTCATCACCACACGTTCAGTGGTACTCGGCCCAACCGGCCACCGTGTTTGGGTTGTCGACCAGAGGCCTCTTAGATGTGGTCTCTTATCGGGAGGCCTCTCGGAGACCTGTTTGAGGACTCTCGGGCGTCTCCTGAGAGCCTCTTGGGGA